ATCAGTCGGTCGTAGCATATTTCGATTACTAACGTCCAGAATAAACGTAGCTAACGAGGATAAAATGCCCGGCTTGCGAAATAAGTCTTCGGGGAGCATGGCGCTCGCTCCCGTGCTTTTTATGGTCATCTATTGAAGTGAAGGGAACGGTAGTAGTTCGACTCCACTCGAGGGCATTCAGAGCTGAAAGTCTACCTTTTTCGTAATAAAAACGTTCCTGAAGGGCAATATAAGACGCGCACCTAATCCGCCTCGTACCTGGTCAAACATGTCTTCGTGGAGCAAGAAATCTCGCTGCAACATGTTAGTGTCACACCTCCGGAGGGGGCGGGGCGCCGGCTCTCCCTCTCCCATTACCCTTTTCCGCACCGGAGCAATGGACGAGAGCGAGCCTCGTCCTCCGCGAAGACTTCCTCGGCTAGCTTCGCACCCTGCTAGGTGAGTGAGTAGCTTCTAGTTTGCACAGAATTACGTGCGGGAAAAAAGGCTGAAGTTTACAAAGACACGTCTTCTGGGGTCAATCGCCGGCTCTCGCATGGATCTTCAATCCTTTTTTCTCGAAGGTGCGTAGTTACTTAGTGTATGCGCGCCACGGAAGAAGCTTCATAGGTGTGACGCGAGGCGGAGACTCTGGGTGCCTGATGGCGGGCGCGGGAAAGCACACGCGGGAGGCACATATCGCCGCGCTCACACGCGGGAAGTACATGTCGCAGCACTTATACGCGCGGGAGGAATCAAAGCAGCTAGCAGGACACGCGATGCAGAGACGACTCAGCCTAACACGATCCAGACACACAAACTCACACGGGCGGAATCCAAAGACATCGCGTAAAGACGAGCTAGGTAAGACAAGATGGGACGGGGCAGATTACAAGCGGTGGCTCTAGAGTATGCGTATGCGTATCAGCGGTAGGAGTATCCGAGGTACGACAAGAGAGGTATCCGAGGTACGACAAGCGAGGTATCCGAGATACGACAAGAGGAGGATTCGAGATACGTATCGTCGATAGGTAGTGGGAAGTATCCGCGACAACGTAAGAGAGGGTGAGAGGGGAGACGAGGGACAGGTCCGTGCGTGCGTGCGTGCGTAGGAGGTATCGTGAGACAGATGAAGATGGCGTAGCGGGCGGGGATCTGAAGGCGGGGTGCGGAGCGAAATCGAGGCGGTGTGCGGTGTGGAGACCAAGTGGAGTGGAGGCAGTGGTGCGTGCGCGATGTCGCACCACTCCGTCCGAAAGCACGAGCGCTACCGCAGCAGCGCCGCGCCGAGCAAGATGCCCGCCACCGTCATCGCGACCCCGCACATCCCGTGCCCCAGCCCCAGCCTCACCCCCAGCGGACGCGCGGCGCTACTCGTCGTCGACGGCGGCGGCGAGGAGCTCGCGGGTGCCGTCGTCGAGGCCACGGTACTAAAGGTGGACCCCGACACTGAGGACGCAGAGGCGGAGGCGGAGGCGGAGGCGGAGGTCGACGACAGGACGAACGACGGGAAGGAGAGCGAGGTGGGCTTCGTTGCCGCGGCGCAGAACTGCTCGACGAGCGCCTCCGTGGAGGCCACCTCGGTGGGGCACGCAGTGAGGCACGAGACGAGGGCCTTGGCGTAGGGCTTTGCGCTGTGGGGGTATATGTCAGCGCCGTTTCGGAAGGGAGCGAGGGCAGGGGGGGAGGCAGGGGGAAGAGAAAGGGTAGAGAGAGGAAGGGAGGAGAACGCACTTCGGAGCGACACAGAAGCAGTTCACCGCGACCTCGGAGGAGCAGTTCGCCGCCGCGGTGGCGAGCTCGAGGCAGTTCGCCACTGCGCCCATTTTCGAGTGATTAGTGCGTGAAGCGCAGGGGAGGAGAAAGCGCACGCACCGCACGGCGAGACCCCGCTCAACGAAGGCAGCGCCGCAGAGTTTGTGGGCGTGCCGATTGCGCTGCTGCTGCTGCCTGCACTTGTACTCGCGGCGGCACTGGCGCTTGAGCTGGAAGCGGCCGAGGCGCCGAGCGCGAATGAGAGGAGGAGGAGGAGCGGAGGCGGGAGATGCATGATGCGGGCGTCTGTACCTGCCGGTGTGGAGAGAGAAGAAGATAGAGCGGGGCGGTGGCGGGAGTGCGGAGGGGGAGCAGACAAGGGGCGTGGTAAACACGCGACGACACGCGGAGGGCGCAGCCAAACACACGCAAATGGGCGCTTGCTGCGGACGGCCATGTCGCCCCGTGGTGTGTCTGGTACCGCAGGATTCTCTCCTTCGATGTTCTAAACCAACGCACTCGCTAAATTACTCCTGATACAGATCCTTGAAACTATTTGCGGCATCGGAAGATTTGCAATCCGCGTTACCTGCAGGCGCTCTCGCCCGTCCCGAAGCTTCCACCTCGCATCTAGTGTGCTACAACGTCCGAGTCGATGTTCCTCCCGGAAACGCTACCTCACCTTCCCTCTGTCTGTGCTCTCGAGGGAGGTAAATACATTTTTTTCTTCGTGCGCACGGTCATCTCGTCCCGCCTCTTGGCCACACTTCGGCGATCCAACACCGCACGGGAGTACGTCTCGCCATTCCGGCATTCCCGGCGCCCACTTATGCCCGCATTTCTGGATATTTCCTCCTGGGCGGCCACTCGACACGGAATTCTGGAATCTGGCAAGAATCTGGCTCCCGCCTCGGTTTTCTGTGTGGCCCATCTCTCGTGATCATACTCGGGGCTAGATTCCCTCCAATGGGTACCTCCCCTCTCACGTACTTGCCACTCGCGTTCCTCCCGTCGCTCGGTCGCTGTGGAGATCTCAAATCTGAGCTCGAAAAAACACAATTCCATCTAAACCGCGCCCGGGCGCGCCTTACGGAATGCATTAATGCCGACACTCCGATCGCTACCCCAGCGCTCCAAAGTGTACTCCCGCCCCCGCGTCTCCTTTCGATAGCAACTTGTCCGTGGCTCTTCGCGTTTTGTCGCACCTTCACCGAGTCCTTCTTCTCTGGAGCCGACGGCTTTGGCTCGCATCTTTTCGGGCCCCCGCCGCACCCTTCGTCTCTGCATCCGACCGTGCCCCTGCAGTTCGATCTCGCACATCTCTCGCGCGCCCCATTCCTCCGCTCGCGTTCTCCGCCCACACCCACACGCCCCTCGCCTGCCCACGCACTTCGCCTGCAGAAAACAAGAGTATGCATTCCGCTGAAAGAGAAAACCAATGTGGTAGGTTTACATACATGCCTCCGGGCGGGGTCGAACCGCCGGCTCTCCCTGATCCGTCTCTACATCACGAAAACTGCGGGAGCGAGCTTCGTTGCTCCACGGAGGCGTGCAGGGACGCCCAACCATATGGATAGGTGCGTCGAGTCGCTGCGCTTGACTGCACTAAACAAACGACTGACGTAGGAAATACCCTCCCGCACGGCGACTTCTACTCTCGCACTGCATTCCGATGTGGTACGCGGTCGTGCACATCCATCTCCGAGGCCACTCTCCCGCGCGTCCCTCCTGCCTGCCCCGCCGTTGTCTGTTGCACGATGCATGGATGATGTCCCTCTGCATACACGGCCTTTCTCGCACTGTCCCCCGTCGCGGTACGGCCAGATCTCCGCCTGTCCTCCTCGCAGCTCTGCTGTTGCTGTTAATCAATGTTTACCTGTGCATCCTGCATCGACGTCTCTCACATTACGCTTATGCGCGCCACGTTCCAGCTCGGTCGCTCCTCTCGCTTTCTATCTTCCAGCTCGCTCCGCACCTCGCCTGAAAACGAGGCACGCATTCGGCTGAACCAAAAAAAAAGGGGCAGACCTGAGGACGAACGCCTCCGGGTGGACTCGAACCGCCGGCTCTCCCTGATCATCATCTCCTTGATTAAGACCGCGGGAGCGAGCTTCCTTGCTCCACAGAGGCGTGCGGGTACATCTACCCGCGTGGATAGGTGCGTCGATTGTGTACGTCAACAACCGAATGGCTACACAAGATCTCCGAGATTTCTGTGAATCTGAAAAAGATCGACGTCTGTAAAAAAAAAGGAGCGTGCAGAGATGGAATGCCTCCGGGCGGGGTCGAACCGCCGGTCCTCCCTGATCAGATCTTCGGGCCTTAAACCGCGGGAGCGAGCTTCGTTGCTCCACGGAGGCGTGCGGATACACCTACGCGGGTGGATAGGTGCGTCAATTGCGTACGTCAACAGGCGAATGGTGGGCTGGCTCACATAAGATCTCCGAGATTTCTGTGAATCTAAAAAAGATCGACGGCTGTGAAAAAAAAAGGAGCGTGCAGAGATGGAATGCCTCCGGGCGGGGTCGAACCGTCGGTCCTCCCTGATCAGATCCCAGGGCTTCAAACCGCGGGAGCGAGCTTTAGCCCTGTCCTAGAAATTAGCATGCTAGTAGCACAGCAATAAATAGCATGTTATTAACATGCTAATAACATTTCTAGCTGGACACCCTCCGAGAAGGCCTGCTATTTATTGCTATATATTACTGAGGCAGATGGGACGCCGGAGGCTGGCTTCGCTGCATTGGATAGACCACAGCAATCAAGTCGAGTCAATTTTGACTCGGATGACTGAGCCGCTTGTATGGTCATGCGAGATCACGGATTTCTGACTTGCTCCGATTGATCTTAGCATTACTAGCATCTCTAGCATGCTATTTATTAATTTATAGCTTGAAATAGCTGTTGGAAGCACGATGCTATATAGCTGTTATTAACACCTGCTAGCTATGGACCTCGGGGAGGAGGTATTTCTAGCATAGCATAGGCTATTTAATTTCTAGCACAGGGCTAGCAAGCTTCGTTGCTCCATGGAGGCGTGCGGGTACATCTACGCGGGTGGATAGGTGCGTTGCCTCAAGTCTGTATCTACTTGCATAATCTCTGAGGCTGAGTTACTGATCCGGAGTCACAACCCCTAGGACACTTCATCGAAACGTAGCAGGCAACCATCCGCCCACTCTCCAGGATCGCGCCGTCCAACCGCATCAGAATGATCGCAATCCTGGCGCAGCGTGACGGTGAGATCTGGATAGTTATTCTCTCGTGGCGTCATAGCTCAGCTGGGAGAGCAGCAGACTGAAGCGCCCTTGTCCGCAATCTGAAGGTCCCGTGTTCAAGCCACGGTGATGCCATTTTCTCTGCCTTTTTAATGCAGTTTTGCTCTCCATTTTGTGAGATTGAACTGGACAAGCCGTTACGCACGTTCAGACGCATCCCATCCCCTGAGAGTCAACGGCCCAATGGCTGGGTCTGCTAAAATGACGAGGTGGCTGTGCGATTGACGGCGCGCCATGAGCACATTTATTAAATTATTCCCAACACATGTCCCAAATAGTCATTTCCACGCAATTTGAGGCCTTGTAAGCCGAATCCCGCACGTGAAAGCTTACTTGCGCAAATTTGGACAATCCCGCAATCCCGCAAAGTCGGATCAAAATTGCGCGCAAAGTGGGATCCCGCGCAAAGTCGGCGGTCATCGAAAACCGCGGAAAATCACCCCCGGAAGTAAATCAAATGTATAGTTTAAATTCTGTATTAATAACAATACAACACGAAGCTCGTGCCTCGCTTGTTGAACATGCCAGTCCGCTTTAGTACTGTCCTTCGAGAGTCGAGTTGGCTAACTTTTAACAAGTATCCCCAGTTTCAGTTCAGCTGCAAGCACCCTGGAACGAAGACTTCTAACACCTTAGCACAAGGATCACAAGAGGCAGACATTGAGCGAGGACTGGTTCCTAGCCGATGGAACCAGTGTTATATCTGCTGACCCCATTCTAGTGACCGAGCACCAGGCCAACTCGACCTTCGGCCTATACAGCTTCAAGAGCAATCCCATCAATTTCGATCAGTGTTAACGGTATTTCAATGAAGACTCGGACTCCAGTCTCCAGACCCAAAAAAAACAGTGTTCTACCTCGCCCCAAGCGCGGATTCGCTCTTCCCGATGCCACCTTTGATCCTGGGAAGTACTAAGAAATCCCACCATTGTTCTCTGTGATCCCCGAGTAGAATACCTTGACCACAACTTTGTCATCTCATCTAAGCAGCTACATACTCATCATTCATCGAGTCAAGCAGGCAAACTATACTTTACTTGCACACCATTAGCTACTGTCAAACTACTCGAGGAGGCAGCGTGCTCTCCGCCTACACAATGATTTCTGTGCTCATTTGAGTTCATTATCCACTACACTGGTTGAAGATTTCAAGTTTTTGAGTGAAAAAATTGGCGAAAAATGTTTTGAGTTTTACAGAAGTTTTTCACCAAAAATGTAGGTAAAAAACTTGAATCATTTTCACAAGTTTTTCAACTTTAGGTGAAATTTTCAAAATAAAATGGAAAACTGCTGAAAAACTCATGAGTTTTTCACCTACATTTTTGGCGAAAAACTTGTGTAAAAATTCAAAACATTTTTCACCAGTTTTTGCAGTCAAAAATTTGAAAGCTTCAACCAGTGCTAGCGTGAACTTCGTGCGATTTTTCAACACCCGACTTTCCGTGGGATCCGGACTTTGCGCGCAATTTTGGTCTGACTTTGCGGGACTGACCGGATTCGCGCAAGGTACCGACGGGTTTCAACTTTGTGCGGAAATCAGCTGACAGGGCCATAAATGATGCGGAAATGGTAAATTAGGATATATGTTGCGCGCGGATTAAATGTGCATTTGGACACTGATATATGCGCCACCTCTTATTCGAGCCAAATTCGAGTACTGTACGCGCAACATGTTTACGTTCCAATACACCATCCAAGTGCAAAACACCCAAACCCGAATTTTGGTCACTCCCAACTAATCAACGATGGTTCTTGCCAAAACAAAATCCAATCACTCCCGTTATCTCTCATCTTACTATTTGAGACCCCTTACCTGGCCACCCCACCTAGTTGGCCATTTGGAGTCTAGCATGCCGACATTTCGTTGTTCACTCCCAGGGATAATGGGGGATGGGAGTACGATCTATAACGAAGGTCTGAACCGAATTTGGAGCCGGAGTGATGAGTTGATCGAAAGTTAAGACATCTCGGATCAAGACCCGCAACGTGTGAACATCAATTTCTTACGCCGACTCGGCTTGGTTTTCTTGTCTCAACTGGCTCTCCGCCAATTCTTGGCCGTTCCAGGACTTCGTGGGCTCAATCTGCTCCCCTGATTCGGGGGAATCACCTGCCACCGTCCCCGCCACTGAGAAGTCAGAATCCTCCCTGCTATGCCCCCATGAATGCGCCGCTATGTTTTTGAGTCGCTCCCCTTGGCCGACGGTGTATCAGACGACACCGTGGGGCTACCACTCTGGAATTGCCTACGATACTTTTTGGCATCCAATGGCTCAACGCCGACAGTACGCTGGAATTTTATCTGCCCAACTCCCTTCTCACTGTAATGCTTTACCGCCACCCACCCAATTTTGGTGTTGCCAACACCGGGAATTTTCTGGGGAGCTGTGAAGACTTTACTACAGAGTTAGGGATGTAAATAAGTTGTAGACCTTTCTTCTAAGCTATGTGCATCTTAATTTGGGTCACAGTATGGTTCCATCGTCTAATAAACGTGCTATTGCTCCAGAGACCTTGTTTCGGGGCTTTCCCACATCTGAGGAGCAGTCATTTACACGCCTCATATGGGTTGCACGTGGAGTATTATGTGCTCAAATTGTCACGATATACCCTAGTTAACATTTCCGATGGATCCGGGTGCCGGATTCAAGTCTCGCGACTTGATTTGACTGGGTGGCCAACTAGCCTGTTATTTGGCCATGTTGAACTGCCGGCCGAAATAAATTCACTGTAATGGCAAATCTTTAGATATTTGGGTGGGAGGGGTCCTGAATTCTTCGTAGGATGCCTGCACTCATTATGACACAGTTGTGCGCGCGTAGGGTGAGCGGACAGATTGAGATTGAGGGATGAATGCTTAGGTGGCCAGGTAAGGGGTCTCAAATAGTATCTCCTTCAAAACAAACGATACACAGCACAAAAAAAATGTTACATTCGGATTTTCTTCCTTCGTTTTCCCCGTTCCCTTCCTTTCTTTCGTTCGGATTGTTCCTGGTTCTGTCTTTAGGAACCAGCTTTTGTTCGTAATACAATCGATGGGCGGCAAATCCCGGCTGATGATCAGATAATGCACATGTCGCGCGTTCGATTCCCTAATGCAGCGGCTTTTAAACTCATTTTAAAACACAGCCGTCGTCGTTCAACTTACAGTAGCGTGAGGGCCATTTCCACCTGAGGCTATTTGTATGATATCAGGCACTTGAGTTCTCCTCAATTTTCCAGATGTAACTTCAATTGACTGAGCTAACTCTACTTTGGAATCTTCAGCGATGGCGGCCGGGCCACGAGGAGCGAGAGAAGGTCAGCGACGAGTGGCCATTTGAACTACCATCTATTTCCATGCGCTACGAGCTCGGAGCGCCCGAGGTTCAACGGTGAGCAGCATGTATTCATGAACCAAGAAATCGGGGAGCAGGAGCAAATGACTTGGTGCGGAGAGTACTATTGGGATTGTATTCGTAGTTGCCAGAGTCAGCACCAGTGGCGGAACCCGGGCTGCTCGGAGGGCATTTAGCAAAATAAATCATTATCATTTATGTACCCCACACCTTGCATGAAGTAGTGTGAGAGAACCACATCATATATTTGAATTGCAAACCACATAGGTGAAGCGGGATAAGGCATAATAGAAGTTGGGCACATGATATATTTGAACTGAACAAGATCATATATTTGTGAAGTTCAGCAGAAGTTCAACATCATATATATCAAATATGGTGCCTAACGCTGCCCCCTCCGATGAGCGGGTATGCCCGCCCATCATCAGTGCTTACGGCCTTGGACAAGGGCTGGGGTTTTACAGAGGTTGAAAGGGTCTCAGAGGGATCGGCGATCCCCGGCCGTGGCACGGATCGACCGCTACCAGGCTTTCCTCCCTTTCCGACCTAGCCTGAATCATGAAGGACTTTCCGCTCGAAGAAGTCGGCTGTGTTGGAACTTGATTTATCCTTGCAGACCTGGGACTGTCATTTCTAGCTGGCGAGTTAGAATAGCAGTAAAAGGCGAGGACGATCGGTTGACCCACTGCGAGCAGAGGTTTCAGTGGATGGCTCGATGCTCAAAAAACTGATTTCACACCATCTCCCGGTATAGCCTGGCCCCGAGTCGAACGGGGACCCCACAGACATCGCGTGTATCTGGCATAGTTCGTGCGGTGCGGACCATCCGCCACCAGGCTTCTTTACTTCCTCTCCTAGTTCGCCCCAATCCTGGACGACGTTCCGCTCTCCTCCTTTCTGCTTGATTGATAATACATCCAGGGATTTGTGGGTTCGGAGTACGCGTACTATTTATTCTGCCTGTGATCTAAATCCAGGCAGGACCGAAGATCTTAGTATTTGTCTGTAGAAGTGCAAACTGAACCTGTCGGGAGCAATGGCCTGGTCCGAGTCGAAACACACCTAACGCGCCCCATTTTATGCACGCCTTTCCGCCCTCGGAATTCTCACGAAAAAGTAATTTCATGGCGAATAGCCCGGCCCCGAGTCGAACGGGGAACCCCACAGACATCGCGTGTATCTGGAACATAGTGCGTGCGGTGCGGACCATCCGCCACCAGGCTTACATTTACCTACTTAAGCACCATAATTCATGTCCAACTTCAAAACTTCACGCAGCGTGCTGAAGAAAATGTACACCAGAGCTGTCGGGAGCAATAAAAATAAATAGCCTGACCCCGAGTCGAACGGGGGCCTCCCACAGACCAATGTATCTGGATGGTCAGCAAGCAATGTGGGTGCGGACCGTCCGCCACCAGGCTTCCTTCCTCTCTCAAGGTGCCTATATTTATGGTTGACTTTCCGGTCCCCGCTTTTCTCTTTGAACTCGATTTATGAACCCGGCAATTCTTAGATCTGAGCGGAGTATGTGTGTTTTCAGACCGAACCTCCACCGGCTTCTTTTCGGGTGGAGTCCCCACGCGCGCTCGAGGTGTGTCTTGATTTGTCACGGCGCTGTCACATGTGCGTTCAGCATCACGCCGCAACGGTCGATGCGTTCGAGGTGCGCTCTATATACTCTCCCTGGGTGCATGCCCTGATTGAGTGGAGCCTGCAGTTGTTCTCGCGCGCTGCACT